CTTATTTAATTTAATAATAAAATTTGAGCCAATCAAAATTAATCACCTCATTGATAATTAGGAAATGATCGACATAAACATTGACCAATCATACAAATGTCTGCCATGCTGTGTACGGCAACAATTATCCATTGGAAATGGCATATCTAAGGAAAATAAGGCGCCTCCCCCATTAGAAAAACGGGCCATTTTTCGCATTTTATCTGTGTATCAACAAAAACTTCAATGGAGACTTGCACATGAGAAAATTCGCTTTTGGGTCTCTCAAAATGGTAGTGCTTTTGTTACGTATCTAGAGATCAGCAGGTAATAGTAATTTATTTCATATCACGTGATCGCGATGATACCACTAAATTTGAAACGTAAAAACCTGTGATTTAAGAAATTACTTAAAAAAGCAAATACTTACACAAAGTTCTCGGTTTAATCAAAATAACTTCATTAAAAGATTATTGGTATAATCTAGTCTCCTGTGTGACATTTTATATTTTTGGATAAAATACGCAACAATAAATCCGTTGATCAAAATATTATACAAAAACGAATTTTCTCATGTGCAAGTCTCCAGTTTTTGTTGATACACAAATAAAATGCAAAAACGGGTTTTATCACAGGAAAACTATGCTTGTCCGAAATGTCATGGGATTATCGCTTTTATATAGATGTTATCAAATTTTGAGGATTAACAAGCGGGTAAAAAATAACTCTTGATGCTACTCCAAAACTTAATAATATATAAAAATATATTAATAAAGTTTCGCCCTCAATCTGGCTTTGAATTTTAAGTTTAAGGTATTATCCGGAAAATCGTGTGATTTTCCGACCATCTGTGTGACTGCAAAAAACGTGGTGCATATCTGATTCTAATTCCCATTTTTGGCAGATCCCAAGTTCTTTCCTCTTTCATGCACTGCATATCATTAGGCGCTCTTTTGAAAATCACAAACTTGCAAATTTCTCGTACACAGAACTGAATACTTTGAATCCAACGCCGTTTTGTCTTTTATGAAGCCATTGACAAATCTCCTTTGTTTGAGTTTCATCACAAAGTAGTATCATATGTCAAATGAAGCCTTAGATAAAATGCAAAGAAAAATTATGTGCTTGATTCATAATCCCAAAATTTGATGTTACACGCGCAAGTGCTTTTATCTTCTTCAAAAAGGAAATATTTCATTGAGGGCAATATTAATTATCAGAAAAGTAATATCGCATGCTAACCAAATTGATTTAGAGATGGGCGTATCAAACATTCTTTTTCAACAATATATATTTTTTTGGCGTTTCAGATGCGAAAGGTATTTATGAATTGACATCATTAAATTTTGAACAATATCTAACATCAATAAAAATAGTATTAACCGGTTGATAACTTGAACTTTATTATCATTTCTCTGTTTCGATAATCTAATTAAATTAATAATTCTTCTATCTTCCATATTGGAAAAGATCACAACTTTACAATGCCTGAACGCCAATCAAATTGATCTAGAGGGGAATGTGCCAGTTCTAAAAGATCCATTGAAAGACTGTTGACATGCGAAAAGCGCCTTATGATTTATACAATGCACAACGTATACCTTTTGGGTAAATTGGCACGGATAGAAAAATATCTTGCTTTCATTTATCAGATTGCAATCATTATTTAAAGGGCTCGCTTCGAATAGTTGAGATCTTTACCCGGTTCGAATAGTTGGAATTTTTTTATTAAAAAAATAAAACGAAATACCAACAAAATGTCTGGAGAAGTGTAAGAAAAAATCCTTTCTCTCGATAGTTGCTTATCACAACTAGTCTTTACGCTCAACTAATTTCTCGTTTTATTTATAATCTTTTTAGAGGAAAAACAGTCCTTATTCAATCGTCTACTGGGGAGTTGTATTTGACGGCAATGAACGATAGTAAAGGTTCTAAAATCCAACTTCAAGAACGGGGTGCTGGTGGTCTTCAGTCTTGGATTTTAAAGCAAATAAACGATGATACTTACGCCATTGTTTGCCTAACCGGTGGATCTGATTTTCTTGCCGTTAATAGCAATGGTGCTAATAAAGATTACACCTTGGATATTTATAACAATACTTCAAATTCTCAACAATTCACTATCAGCTTTTCCGATCCAACTTATGCAGTTTTTACAAATGCTAATGATAGTCAAATGACATCTACTTCTAATGCAAGCTTTCAACCAAATAACAAAATCGGTTCATATAATAAAAGTGAAACTAGTAAATGGAGTTTAATCCCAGTTAATCCTTAAAATATACAGTATATCATGTAAATATTTATCACAACTTAAATTTGTCTTTCAATTTCTGTACAAAAAGTATTTATGCTTTAGTCTTAGTGATAGTTAATACATTGTATTTTTAAATATTTACTCTTGAAATAATAAAAGATACATCTTCTATGTCCTGTTTATTTAAAAGGGTTTGTTCCGTTTGTAACGAGTTTATTATCTGTTATTGCCAGTTTTTGTATGATCAGGATGATTTGTCATTGCATGTTGACATTCTTGAAAAATAAAACACGCATTTAAAAAATTCGAAGTAAAATCTTTATTTTTTTATTTTCATTTTTACTTAGCTGGTTAGCCCTTCCTCATGTATTATTTTACAAAAATATAATAGAGTAGCGGGATATTTCAAGGGAGAAAGGGCATAAAAGACTAACCCATATAGTGGCAGTTCCTTTCCCGCTACTCAGTATTATTATCTAAACTGCTAATATTTTCTTTGCTATCTAACCATTTGCTAATTAACTTTATTGTACTATATTTCGAATCACTATATCCATAATAAAAACTTTTTATAGTAGCCCCCCAATCTTTTTTCCCGTAAGTTGACGAATTTCACAAGCTACAGTTTCACACACATAGTCAACAGATTCACTGCCCCTAAGTGAATTAAAAATTTGCTTAAAACGGGCCTCAACATTTTCAAAAAAAGATGAATTGGACGATGAACTTCCAAAATGAGAGTTCGCATGTAAAAACTCTGATTAGCTTGAAGCTTCAGAATGGTTGGCCACACTGTGTTAATCTAGAGTTTATATCCGTCCATCCGGATATCCTAAATCATCCGGATATCCAGTCAATTTATCCGGATATCCAAGATAACTTTTTATTTTAAATTTATCTTATTTTATTTTTGTAAATGTTATTATTTTT